AATGTCGGCAGGAATCTTGACGCCATCATTTATTATTACCGCCCCTACTTTGGTAGGATCGGTGCCTGTATTTAAATGAGAATACGATGTTTGGTAAATAAAAAATCACCGATCAATTGTTATTGATCTATTTAAAGACGGAGTGTTCCTTTATGAACGCATTATTGATCAGACTAACTTGAAGGTTCGATGCCCTTTACTGTAGCCGACATATAGAATTTTACATTGTTGGTTTCATGTAATTTTTGGATTGTTTTTCCAACCTCAAGACCAAGAATTCTTTCGAATGGAACCTATAATAAAAGTAGTAATTATGTTTTCATAAATACGTTATTTTCTGAACTGAAAACAAATAATTCCAAAACTTGTTCTATTAACCGTTTCCATTCCAATCACGGATACATTTGCTTTCTTAGCACAAATCGCTGCAACCTCCATTCCAATAAATGATGATCCGATGATCACTAGATTTTTTTTTTCTTCACCGGCCACGGCTTTTTGTGCAAACAAGAATAATGTGAATATTGCGCCCAAAATTTATCGCATATTTACGCGAATCACGGGAAAATTTTCACCATTTTCAATTCTTTTATGGTCATCATAAGTACGGAGATATAAAACACCACCAAGATCAATTCCAGGAATTGGGATAGAACGTGGCTAAATAGTGTCGTAAAAGTTATACAGTAAGCTATAGCATTATTTGAATGATAAACAGTGTGACTTACTGATGTGCCGGTAGCAATAATAAGTGAGTCATATTTAAATTTTTCATTGTTACTAGTGGTAACAACTTTTGATTCGGAATCCACTGCGGTAACGGACTATAAGAAAAATGGATGTTTAATCTAAGAAAATAAACCCAATCATGTATTCTTATCAAAATACTACCAACCATTCCTAGTTTAAACGTAATATACATGTCATTGTAAAACTCTTTCTTCCTGAGCTCTATTTTTTCGAGTTGCATTCCTAAGCCTTTGCTGAGTTTAGGTCTACAAAAATATAAATATTACTAATAATCCTATTATTTCATTCGATGATTTCGACACATACCTGTCGATTGGCAAATAAGTTTCGCGACTTATAACCAAAATCCTCCCTTCGAAGCCATCCTGAACAATTATTTATAAAAAATATTAGACAGAGATAAAAACAAGTATTATGTTTACTGATTACCTCACGAAGCTTTTCCGCTGCTGCGTTACCGGCTGCACCACCACCAATGATCACCACAACGTAATCGTTGAACGGGGATACACCAGAAGAACATTTTGGAATTCTCCTAGCAGCACTTAGAGCTAACGGGCACACATAAATGAGAAGTGATCGCGTAAATAAGAATTTTAAGTTTTTGAATTTTGCGCGCCGTAATAAGCATACTTGATTCATTGGTTTCAATGTAAATATCAGTTCCTTTCATAATGACCTATTTAGGATGTGATTAATCATTTGATGCATTGATATATGTAAAATGATAGAAATACCTTATATTTCTGAAGATGATCTAATGCGGGTGCATCCTCTAAATGGTGCGATCAATTACGTGAGATTTATATTTCCGATAAGTTAATATGTTTCAATAGAATGTATGGATAGATACCTATGTCACCAGTGGTAAGGTTAAAACAGGCACCATGCCAAGGGCTATAGTTTGTATCGTGATGTTAAATACTAAAATATTACTCATTATAAAACAAAATCAAATAAACGCTTGCCAAGTTATGCGACCGTCACTCGAGTAAACGCCGTTGATAAGGGGAGCCTATGCAAAATTTTTATGAAGAAAGGTTAGAAACCATCCGAACTCGTGCTTCTGGTTCGTTTGCATTCCGAATAATTTAAAATAATGACTTACTCCATAATGCGTACACTTGTGAGAGGTGGCGTATACCTGCCCATCAAATTTGGATAGAAGAACTTTCAAGTTATCCTTGACAGTAACTTCTTTGCTACAGAATTAGAAGAAAATTTTATAAATTTGAATAAATACGCGAAAATCAATTTAAAAAAATACTTTAATTTCGATTTTTAAAAAAATCAACATACACTTTTTTTTCTTCAAGTTCTTCTAATTTTCCTACAAAGTATTCAGTCATCGTGGAATACTGTCTAGATAAAAAAATCTTCTGAAAACGAAAGGTTCTCGTCCAAGAAAAAAACCTGAGAGAAATAGCACTCATTCTTATAATAACATTTTTCCAAAAATAACAGCCACTGTCATAAAGTAGCCACAGTAAGATAGGATTCGCAGGATAATCAGGAATCTGACCTGTTGTGGCTTACACTTCCTCAGTAATTAATACATCACACGATGGTGTCTTTTTTAATACTAATTTAAAATGTTTATAGAGATTCTAGTATACCATTACTTCATCCTTGCTAAGCAAAATTCTTAATAAGTGATTTTTTTTTTGTTTTGTATTGTATAATAATGAGAAGTGAGGAGACCAACGCCAATGGAAGTCGATGACTCATTTCGCCTAAAAAAACTAGTAGCGATCTATTCTAATTGAATGTGACAAAAATATATCGAGTTTTCAAAACTAGTACAACTTTTGGGGTTTTCGAATTATCTAGTCCCCCAAAGGTCAACCGTATAAGTTGTTTATCACACATTATTTTGGTGAAAATAGCGAGTCTGTTGCTTATCGGCAGAATGTGTAGTGTGATCGTTCGAGGTAATAGTACGCGTGTAATGACACATCAGATGGTTCGAAGTATCTAAAATTCTGACAAGCCGCAAATTATTATGGCGCAACGCAAGGCCACATACCGCCAACTTATCCCGTAAAAAAAATAATCACATGAATACTAAGGAAGAATATAGATCGCGTCCGTAGCTTTGTTTTAAATAAATATTACTTCTTTATTAAAGTTTTTAAGAAGCAAAATTCATTACTATAAGAATAGTTTCATAGAAACTTAAAAGTAAATATAACAATAGTATTAATTTTATCGTTCAAAATAAAGTTTTTAATTTTCAAGTTTTATAAAATCTTATAGGAATTATTAATGATTATTGTGGAATATTTAATAACATTATTATTATTAATTAAATCAATAAAATTATACTGTATATTAAATATTTATATTAGAAAATAGAGAATTGATGATTTCAAGTGAATACGTAATTAAAATTTTAATGCTTAATTATATATAATAACAATTAACACGAATATTATAATAAATAAATCCTTTTAAACATATTTTATTTTATTATATACGGTATGTATTTATTACTTGTTTAATTAATTTATTATTTATTTTTTAAATTAAAAACTAAACACAAAATTATTAAATATTAATTTTATTGAAATAAATAACAAGTATTTTAACAAACAGCTAAAATTTTACTATATTTTAAATTATTTAAATTATTAAGATTAAATAATAATAAGTAATAATAATAATTTAATTATAAATCTAATTTTATTAAACTTATTTATATAAAAAAACAATTCTTAAAATTTTATATTATATAAATAAATATAAATAAATATATTATATAATACAAAAATATTTATAATAAATTTATTTATTTAATATATAATCTAGTATAAAAGTTTTTAAAAACTTATTTTAGCATATATTTTAAAACCTAGTTAATAATATAATATAATATATATATATTATTAAAAATATTTTACTAAAAAATTAATTAATTATAATTATTAAATTTTTTATATAAATTAAGCTAATTTTTTTTAAATTTTTACAATTATTATTTTTTATAGTAAAATTTTATTTTTAAAAGTAATTATTAATTTATAAAAAATTTTATAAATTTTAAATATATATTTTTAAAATAAACTTATTATTATTATTATTTTTTCTAGTAAGTAAACATTATTTCTTTATTTATTGATATTATACTTTAAAGTTATATATACTTGTGAAAGAAATAACATCTCTTGGGTGTAGAGCATACAACAAGTTAAATTCTAGCTTGCCTATCTATCTATATCTAGCTAATATTAAAAAGAATTTAAAACAATATTATATATGCTAAATATAACTAAGAGCAACTATGCTTATTTATTCAGAATTTTTTGATTGAATGTAAAAAAATAGAAAATAGAAAAAAAAAATTGAAGAAAAAATAAACTGGGACTTAAAATAAACTTATCAATCAATTATATATACAATTAAATATATATTTATTTAGAATTTAAATATTAATGTATTAATTTTTAATAAAAAAATAAATTTTCAAAAAATTTTAAAAATCAATAATTAAATTATAAAATAATTAAATAAGAAATTATAAATATATAAATATATATTTATTTTTTTATTATATAACTAACTAATATTTAATAATTAATGTTTTTTAACAATAAATAATAAATATATAAATATTGTTTTGTTTTATTAGTTATTTATAAAATTATAAATTAAAATAAAATTTTAAAAAAGTTTGAAATAAGACTTTAAAAAGTATTAAAACTAATATTAAAATAATATTATTAAAGGTTTTAATTTAAAAACTTTTATATCAGATTATAAATTAAAAAAAAAATCTTTTTTTTAAAAAAAACTTATAAATAAAATATAATAAAAAATTATTTAAATATTATTATAAATATTATTTGTTCTTTTATATGTTTTTTTAAATTTTTAATTTATTATTATTATTATAATTAAAAAATTCTTTGTTATAAATATTTTGAAAATTTTTTTGAAATTATATTTTATATTAAAAAACAATAAAATTGATAAAAAAAAATACGAGTAAAAATTATTTTAAACAAATAAATTATTTGATAAAAAATTTAATGGATAAAAATAGTAAAAATTATTTTATTAATTCAAAACAATTTTAAAAAACAATTTTAATATATATTTGTAAAGATAAGTAAAATTACTATAATTATTTTTATTAATAATATAATATAATTTTTATAATATTTAATAGTTTTTTTTATATAATATATTATATAAAGCTTGATTACAATATAATATTTGAAAAAAAAAACTCTTTCCCGTACATAACATTTTTCTCAAAAATTTTCTTTTATAGTAATTTTTTTCAAAATTAAAGAAATAGTTTTTTTTATCTTCACCTTT